CAAATTTTGAGGCGATAAACCATTAGCGATGAAAGAATTTCTTTAAATCCAACAGGGCCGCTGTTTGCAAGGGTTCGGATCGACAGCGATTAGAAAGCCCTCTTGGTCGAGAAAACGCTGTATTCGGCAGATCCTAGCAGAGACTATCCCAAAACACGGACACAGAACACCATTCAGGAAAAATGCGTTTTTTATTTGTTTAACGAACTGTTAACACTGCCGTTGCCACAGTAGTGTGATAACCACCGAACAAACAAACAATTCATTTGTTGTATCCATCTAAAGACAAAATGAATCCAACGTTTTCAACTCGTACCTGAAGGATTTCCGGAAGAACGTAGGCAGCGTTTACATCGTCTTGGTCATCGCTACGATAGTTGAAGAAGTAGCAATAGGGGTTCTTGATCAGCTTCTCGATGGCCCACGACATCCATCCCTGGTTCCTGTTTTCAAAGACCTTCTGCGGCACCAGTTTTCCAACCCTGCACATATGCTTTATGACGTCAATCATACCAGCGGGAATCTGAGTGTTCCGCCGGAACCGCGCTTTCAATTCTCGACAGGTGATGACAGGGTTGCATAGTCGGCGGCAACTGCTTTCTACTGCTTCAACCCAGAAATTCATTTTCGCATCGTAATTCTGCGGGTTTAAGTCCCTGCTCTTGAAAGCTGCTAGGAGATTCGACATTTTTTCGTCATCATTCCAGCCAGGTGGAAAATATGATTCTTTTGAAAGGTCCGGGATTCTATCCATCACCGAGGGACAAAATTCCTAAAGCGCAGAATTCACAATAAACGCGCTAACAAACCTAGATTAATGTACCTTCAGATCACTACCTGAGGAAAGACAGTGTGGTACAATCTGAAATGTACCAAATTTCAAACGAAATTTTTCTCTCAACTGTTCTCAATGACGTTTCATATTTCATCTTAATTTTTTCGGGAAACAAGCATGAGACCCAGAAATGCCAAAATTTTTCTGCAGGGCAAGGTGACAAGTACAATGTGTTTCATCCCGTTTACTTCTCACAGAATGATGATAATCAACCTCGGAAATTGCTAAAATATTCGGTGATAGTCTTAGGCACTTTTGCCGCCAGTCTGATCAACAAATTCTATTCATAAAACTTTTTTTAAAAGTGTCCGTAGTACTTATCAGAGTAATAAATGTTGTTAAAAAGGTTTGAAGGGGGGTCTTTAGCATTATATTTGAATTAATGTTTTGAAACATCGGTTTATTGAAATAATCTATTGATTGTATGATTGAAATAAGTAAATTTGAATTCTACTAGTTCACAGTTCCTACAAAATTCAGAGCAATATCCGCAACGATCTTGCATCACAAGGTGAAAAGTCATCATAAGAAAGACTTAGTGCTAAAGCAAGAGGATGCAGAAATAAAATAACAGATAAACTGCTCGTGTGGAGATATCTTTGGAGACTTTGAAGAAGTAATAAGAAATTGATCAACCAATTGTCTTAGTAAAACGGTATGAAGGAATCTGCCGCGATTGATCACGGTATCTGAAAGAACCACGTCATTAAATGGTACTCAGCGTCATCCGCACGGAAGCAAACTAGCGGAAAACAAAGACTATGGGTTCAGTCTCTGGGAAATGGACAAGAAGCAAGGTCATCAGACAGGATAAAAACATATAAAATCAGCCAAGGATGGCTTTTTCTGTTACGTAATTAAATTTTGAACAAACATGTTACTTGAGCTAATGACTAACTGTCCTTTGCAAACTCACAACCGTACAGATGCAGCCCTACAATAATGCCGATAGCATTCAACTATGCAACAGGTAAAATCCACGGCCCCGACATGAAGACAAAATTCATCATCAAAAGCGAGACGGCATTTTCTCCATGTTTTATCTTGCCTACGAGGAACTTGCCATGTTGAGATGCGAAATCTTTGCCGATATAGTTTTATATTTAACAATGGCTTCGCGCTCCCTGAATTTGAATAAAACTATTTAATTAATAAACTGAAAGTTGTATTTAAACAAACTAACATTGTAAACTTTGGCCCACGAGACACTGCTCAGAGTTTCATGTGACATTCTTTGAAAAATAGCTACGACTTTGAAAAGCAAACTGTTTTGATCAATTTTGATTCGATTGTGACGAAAAAAATCAAATGAACCTAACAGGGTGCTGAACCGGGGATATTATGGTTTAGACACCAATGCCTTTCCGACTGAGCAACACTGGTCTGAGGCAACGTGTAATAAATTCCTTGCTGAAGCCAGTTCCTCATTAACAGAACCATTGCGTTACCCCGGAATCGAGCCTTTAATCTCTGGAACTCTAGGTTGGCTTCCTGAACACTGTGACACAGTGTTGACTTACAGTAGGCGGCTGTACCAGCGTGTTATTGTTAACGTTATTGTATAATTTTATACTTCTGTGCATTTCAGTAGTTCTGGAATACGTTAAATTTACATGTACAATTCCAGTTTTTTGTTTCCTTTCACTTGCATGGAGCCTTCACAAGATGGTGCATGTTTAAAATCGAAAATCTGCAATCTGGATATCTGCAACAAAACGTTTCGTATACATAGTTAGAGAAAGACTACTAGTAATTCTGGTGGTTGTGAAGCCAGTTTACGAGTGCGTATGAAATATCTGTAACCGAAGCTAGTTCGACTTCTGGTTGAAATATTTACCAGAAGTTTATCAGTTCTGTACATTATACCGTCAAGTTTCATATGTCTTTGTAAGTAATTCAATAATGTAACATATCGGCAGTGTGAGGCTTTTCTGTGTCGAAAGATCTGTTTATTTAATCTTCATCTTCATCTTCCATCGCCGTTGCTCCTTTCGGGTCGCGGAGGCAGACACGTCAGACAGTGCTTCCAACGTTCCCGATCATGTGCCAGAGTCT